TTGAAATGTTGTTTGTCATATCTTTTTGGCGATGTGCTTGATGTACTCAGTGTTTATACTTGACATTGTGACATTGTGCTTTGTGTCCTGAATGCTTGTGTAACTCGGGTGTTCTTATTGAGGAACAGCAATTTTTGCACAGTAGAAGGGCCGAGTCGATTTCTTTTTTCGGAAATGACTTCCCCACCCTTCGAAAACACTCTTTCACAGGGCACAGAGGAGACTGGGTTTGCAAAATTAAAGTTCGGATACACAGTTTTATGCATCTGCCAGTATTTAAGGGGATCTTCTGCTTGGTCCCAAGGAGCTGCAAGTTATCGCTGCACCTCAACGACAAGCATCCGCACCAGGATTTTTTGATCATCTTGTGATTTCTGCATCGTTGTCCAACAGCTTCCACAGGTTAACACCTGCAGGGGGAATGAAACAAAACGACACATTATGAACATATATACAATTACATGAATATGTCATTTATGATTGTGTCTTACCTGTAAAAGGAGCAACAGGTTCTGGCTGTGGTGGTGCTGATGGAGATGGTTCTGCAGTTCTTAATGAAAAACACAAAGTCCTGAAACCAAAGTCTCAAACAAACAAGAAACCTATGACAGGAGCACACAGACACAGACACACAATGATCAGACAAAGACTGACAGAACACAGGGAACTAAATACATGCAAAGTGACAAGACAACGAGAAACAACTGGACAAGACACAAAGGGTTGAGGGAGCTGAATCGTTAAACACAAGGGACCTGCATGACGAGGATAGGTGGAGACAAAAAGGGCACATGACGGAAATAAACCAAATGTGATCGAAACAAAATCAAAATAGTAAGGATGAATCTGATTGGTTAAGAATGAGACCCATCGCAATACCGATTGGACGGGCGGCCCTAGTGGTTAGCGCGTCAACCTCACAGTGCAGAGGTACCGGGTTCAATTCCAGCTCCGGCCTCCCCGTGTGGAGTTTGCATGTTCTCCCCGGCCCCTCGTGGGTTTTCCCCGGTACTCCGGTTTCCTCCCATATTCCAAAAACATGCATGGAACAACCTTGTCCCTAGGTGTGAGTGTGAGCGTGGATGGTTGTTCGTCTGTGTGTGCCCTGCGATTGGCTGGCAACCGGTTCAGGGTGTCCCCAGCCTGCTGCCCGGAGATGGCTGAGATAGGCTCCAGCACTCCCCGCTACCCTTGTGAGGATAAAGCGGATCAGAAAATGAATGGATGGATGGATGGATGGAATTGATTGGACAACATCCACAAACGCATACTGGAAACAGTACAGCCAAGATTCCTCGGGACCTCCGACAACCATCTCTGATTAAAATTTACGGTTGACCAGTGATCGCTGATGGTGTTGTGGTACACACGCCGGACTGGTTCCCACTCAGTGACGGTGTGAATGTTCGTTTGTCTATATATGTACCCTGGGACTGACCGGCGCCCACAGTTCAGGGTGTAGTCTGCCTTCTGCCCCAAATCAGCTGGGATAGGCTCCAGCAACTCCCCGCGGCTCTGTTCAGGATAAGTGGTGTTGAAAATGGAGGGATGTTGACCAGTGTGATGAGACAACTTCTTCACATTGTAGTTGCTGTTCTGTATTAACGATAAACTCCCCATTTTGAGTAAGAAAAAACAGAAAAACATTGACATGTGTGCAGATCTAATGAATGTGTGATCTTTTGCTTTTTCTCAAGAATCAGGTGGACAGACTCTGCAAATGAAGACACCCTGCCCGATTTTAACATCAGGAAACAATTCAAGTCATGGAAAGAGCTGAGTACAGGGATATTTTGACTTGTGTTGCCCTCCCATGGCAAGTTATCATTATTATTGTTTCTCACGTATGAAAAAGGAAGGTTCTGTAAATTCTGGACTTACTGATGAGCAGAGCAGGCATCCGACTGGAAACAGTTTGTCCTCTGGCGGAAACGAGCTGGCCATCTTGCCACTATTTCTGAACGTGAATCAAAGCATTGCCTGTACCCTGAGTGGACTGTCTGTCAAAAATGAGCTACAGTGACTACTGGCTGACGGACTACGACCCGTCCTCCTCGGCTCCGCCCAGCTTCGCCAGGGGTCCCACAGTACTGGAGCCCATAGCGGGACATCCTGAGCAGGCTGCGGCCCTTTGTTTTGTGGGCCTGCTCCTGCTTCTGCTGCTCTTCTTGCTGGTCCGCTGCGTGCGGATCCTGTTGGACCCCTACAGCAGCATGCCAGCGGCATCGTGGACCGACCACAAGGAGGGTCTGGACAGAGGGCGTTTTGATTATGCGGTGGTGTAATGAGATTAAGTATGGGCCAATTGCCGGTTTTACCGTGGTTTTAAAAAGTCAAGGTTTCAAGGAATGCTAATAATGTCTGTCTTCTAAGCTTGGCACCATTTGATTGGCTGCTTGCAGAGTTGATAAAACGAGCTGCCTCTTTGAAGTTAATTGGGGCATTTGCTTTTATTTTTTTCTCCTTTTCGGCAAGACAATGTGGGGAGGGGTGAGCAGTTATGCACGGAGGAGTGGGGGAGCAAGACGAAAGAAACACTGCAGCCCACGGATGCGTTCTACAAATAGCTCACAAGTGATGGCACACTGCAACTTACTAAGAATTCAAAAGGTTTGTATTTAGTTAGTCATTGAAACTTAACGCGGTATGTGTTTTTTAAAAAAAATGTAACATATTGTATATTTTTTCAAAAAATAAAATAGTGTGTTCAGTGGGGAAAAAATGCCATTCTGATTTAGCCAAATATTTTGAAAAAACATTTTAGAGCTGCAATAATAACACTGTGATATATTTTCTCATGGTTATCTTAGCCCAGTGGTGTCAAACATACGGCCCGCGGGCCGGAACCGGCCCCCAAGGAGGTTTGATCCGGCCCGCGGGATGATTTAAAAGTGAAAGAAAAAATGCATGAAAGACACAGAATGAATATTTTAAATAAAATGCAATTCGTGGATTATCCGCTAGGGGGCACACTGTTTTGATCACAGTAAAAGACAACATTGTTTTGATCGGGGAAGAAAACAGCAGTCTCAGTCTGTCACCGAGATAGACCCAATGCAGCAAATGATATGAAAGCGCCAATCAATGCTTCTTGAGACCAAAACAAAGGAAAGAGATGATATTTTGGTGATTCATAGCACAGTATGGTATAATGTTAATGGTCCGGCCCACTTGACATCTACCGAGTCCGTATGTGGCCCACAATGTGAAATGAGTTTGACACCCCTGTCTTAGCCTCTGGATGTAATATCGGCCCATGCTGAGATCAGACAAATGCAAGTCATTGTATAATCTTCCAGACAGCCATTTTCTTAAACTGTGGTTTTCAAACTTTTTGGGTTCATGAAAGAAATCGTCCAAGCACATCAATCAAACAGAACTACCAGATGTGCAACAAAATATGGTAGGAAAAAGAAGTTGCTTAAATTTCCTCAAGTAGTAATGTTAAAATGGCAATTTCAGATTTTTTTCAATAAAAAAGTCCTATTTTTCTTATGTTGCAATATGATGATATTAAAGTTTAACAGGGACAGAAAATCACATTTTAGCAAGTGAATTTCAAAAGTTGTCATTTTACAATGAATTAATTTTTTAAAACGAGAAACAAAGTTGTATTGTTATAAAAGTAAAGGTTTTTTTCTGGAATGGATGGATAGAAAGAAAGAAACAAAAATATGTGTTTGGATAAAATGTATTAATCTTAGAAGAATACATTTTCAAAGATAAGGAAGGCATACTGTCGTATTAAAGGCAAAATTTGACAAAGGAAGAAGCCATATTTTCACAAGTGCATTAAAAAAAGGTACTTAAGTTTTGTGCTGTCATATTTTTTTTTTTATTCTGGAAAATATGCCATTATTATTTTTAAAAGGAAGGACTACATTTAAAGATTGTGGCTGCATTTTAATTTGATCCTTGTTGAAATGAAGTTCCTTCCCAAATCCAGGCAGTTATGAATGCAGATGTTCAAAGAATGCATAATGCTGCAGTGGCTAACAGTATTAAGCATACATTTTGGAGAGAAAACCTCTTTTTTGTCTTTTGATGAACACTTGGGCCTGCTATGCTTCTGCATTCCAATGTTTGTCATGGTGGCGCGACTTGCTAGCTTTTTACAAATAATTACCGGAAAGAAAAATCAGCCAAAAGAGCTGAAAACGTAAACACTGATTAAGTGAACATGAAAATGTGCTGTATTTGAACCTTGTACTGGAACTCTGCTCTGCGATATGTATAAAAACTTGGAGCTGTAGTTTCAACGTGAACTGTTCAGGTGATGCGCTCAGGTAGAATTCTGTTAACCAAAAACATCACCATTCCTGAGGGATGCTTTTTGCCATTGTCAAACTGACATATTGTAATGCGAAACACTTGTTTTGGGTTTTACTGGTCCTTTTAGGAGGCCTGGAATGTTCAGAGTGGGCGCACGATCTAATGAGATCCAACAGTCCATACCTTCCAATAGATACTGGATTGTGTGAGATTGGGCGGGTATGCCGAATGGAACGGACGGCTTTCAACGTGTGCACCAATCCCCGTTTGCCTTTCGTCCTCAGCCAAATATGTTCAACGGTGCCTGTTTGACCAAGTGTTGCCACTGTTACCTTGGACCACTTGTTTTGTCAAAACTCTTTCTGCCCTTTAAATCCAATACAATGTCTCCCCGACATCTGTTTTTTAGGCATTTTAGCAATGGTGAATTGATTTCCTTAACAATGAAAAATACCCGTTTAGTTATGAATAAACAAATAAATAAATAAACGAAGTGCTTCTGGGTTCTTCTTTCTTACTTCAAATCAAGGTTGACTGGATTAGAAAAGATATATATATATTTTTAATCAGCCAAGGTTGATTTTTGTTTCCTTTGTGGTTTATTCTGTGTAAACAAGTCAGATGAGCAAAGTGGTCTGCTGCGACATCGTGTGGACACTTTTCAAACTACAAGAGTCCTGCCATCGGTGGAACTAATTTCATCGGACTAAATAGAAGAAAATATCTATACATTCTCTGCATCCAGTAGAACCCAACATAAATCATTTTCCAACAGAGTGTAAAATTCAACTTGTATTTTTTTGTGCTAAAACAGTCATTTAAAATGAAACACTTTGAAAATGTAAATTCTTGACATTTCTGGCAAAAATGTTCGTTAGAGCAACAACGTGAGCAAGTTCTTTGCTGCAAAACAATTAGTCGAGTTGTTTTTACTTCTATCTTTAAGTTGGGGAACAATACAAAAGACAATTGTCTACAATCTTCTTTGTTGAAAATGCGAGAAAGCCAATTTTCACATGAACAAAAACTTCAAATATTTTATAGAACTGTCCAACTTTTACCAAAGTTTGTCACCTTGAAATTTGGAGTTCATTCAACTTTTTTTCCAACGGTACAATAATGTGAGCTTTAACCTGAACAAGTCATTTGAAAAAAATACAATGACAGCTTTTTGAGAGAAATAAACCAGTGAAATAATGTGGTCGCACAAGTGTGCACACCCTCTTATAAATGGGAATGTGGCTCTGTTCACAATCATCAACCCACGTTAAATGGGAGTCAGCACACACCACCTGCCACCACCATTTAAAGTACCTCTAATTAAACCCAAATAAAGTTCTGATGTTCTAGTAGGATTTTCTTGACATTCACACTTTGGTGTAAAATTACAGATGAGGAGCTGCTTGAATGTCTTGAAGTCACCAACTGAATGTATGTTTATGAAGAGATATTCATTCATTCATTCATTTTCCGAACCGCTTGATCCTCACTAGGGTCACGGGGGGTGCTGGAGCCCATCCCAGCTGTCTTCGGGCAGTAGGCGGGGGACACCCTGAATCGGTTGCCAGCCAATTGCAGGGCACACAGAGACGAACAACCAACCACGCTCACATTCACACCTAGGGACAACTTAGAGTGTTCAATCAGCCTACCGTGAACATTTTTGGAATGTGGGAGGAAACCGGAGTACCCGGAGGAAAACCCACGCAGGCCCGGGGAGAACATGCAAACTCCACACAGGGAGGCCGGAGCTGGAATTGAACCCGGTACCTCTGCACTGTGAAGTCGACGTGCTAACCACTGGACTACCGGGCCGCATATGAAGAGATATTTTATTCAAAAATATTTTATCATCATAACAGGGATGAGAGTGGCTAGTGATGAAAAAAGTGGAAGGGGACGTGGCCGGGACAGGGGCGGGGCCACTTACAAAAGTAGCACTAAACATGTTGAAGATGAAGTGTATTCAATTTACACACTATTTGAAACTTTAACAGAAAAGAAAAATCACAAGATTGTTCACTATTCTTTCAAGTGAAATTTTGGAATTTTCTTATGCATTCCTGGTGAGCACCAACTTTGCTGCTCAAAATCAAAACTAAAAAAGGAAACACATTCCCTGCCATATTTAAGATTTGTTCATTACTTGTATTCATAAAGTGTTGTGCAAATGTGATAAAAAGCTGTTGATTCTTACCTCATACAGTGATAGTGAAGTCCCACACTGTTAAACACCACAGTTTTCATGCAGCTCATACCATATTATTTTGTTGTATTATTTCCGCCACACCTTAAATGCCGGTCCCTGAAAATATTGTCTGACATAAACCGGTCCGTGGGGCAAAAAAGGTTGGGGACTCAATGTACACAAAGATTTACCGGCGACATCGAGCTTTTTCACGAAATCCGACACAAGCACAATGGTTCCTCTTTACTGTTTCCTACTGGGGACACCGTCAGCTTTCTCTCCAACCAGTCCCATCGAAACATGTTTTTCAGATCCGCATCTATCTGTCGCACTTTAGCTTCGTCGCGAGTCTCGATAAGATTCGGCATCGCGAGAAAGGGGTTTTGGAATGCGAACACGGATTGGTTGTGATTTGCATTTGCCGATATAGCGAACAATCACAACAAGTAAGACATTGGTTTTAGCCCATATAGGAAGTAACAACAAACTAACGCTTCGCGATAAAAAGCGGGATTCAAAATGGATGCTTGCAAACGTTACTTGTAAACATTCCGAGCCCCGAATCTGCCGGAGACAAGTCCAGACCCCCCCCCCCCCGCACAGATTTTTTTACGGATTTGGAACAATATAAAATAGGTCCATTTTGACTGAAAAAAAAACGGAATTCCGCCAAAACGCAGAAAAATCTCATCCCTGTCATAATTAAAATATATATTTCATCTTCGATTTCTATGTATGCACAGCACTTTGCAGTTCCATTTTTTTGCTCTATAAAAAAACGTTTGTGTTGTCTCTCTTATCATGTAATGAAGGAGATGAGGCGTGTTGGATAGAACTCGTTCACTCTTTACTTCCAGCTTGTACTCTTTTACATTCGTTGTCCAC